CAAAAAAAAAAAAAAAAAAAAAAAGGGCCGGGCGCGGTGGCTCAAGCCTGTAATCCCAGCACTTTGGGAGGCCGAGGCGGGTGGATCACGAGGCCAAGAGATCGAGACCATCCTGGTCAACATGGTGAAACCCCGCCTCTACTAAAAATACAAAAAATTAGCTGGGCATGGTGGCGCGTGCCTGTAATCCCAGCGACTCAGGAGGCTGGGGCAGGAGAATTGCCTGAACCCGGGAGGCGGAGGTTGCGGTGAGCCGAGATCACGCCATTGCACTCCAGCCTGGGTAACAAGAGCGAAACTCCGTCTCAAAAACCCAACACAAAAAAAAAAAAAAAAAAAAAAAAAAGGAACCTTTTTATACATTGTAGCCAAGCCGACAAATTGAATGTGCTGCTTTAGGAGGTAACAAGCTGTTCATCCTGGAAAAATTCACATAGAGGAAAAAGAGGTTGATTAGGAAAAGGATTTCGTGAGATAACTTCTAAAGCCACTTTGAATAAAATGCTGGGACAGGCCAAGGACAGTGGCTCATGCCTGTACTCCCTGCACTTTGGGAGGCTAAAATGGGAAGATTGCTTGAGGCCAGGAGTTTGAGACCAGCCTAGGCAATATACTGAGACCTTGTTTCTAGGCTATATACTGAGACTGACAGACTACAGACTACAAATGGATGCTACAGACTTCAAATATATATAACTGCCTTGCATTAAAATCTGAAGGACAAAGTAATCCCTTCCCTCAGATCACTTTTTAAACCACAGATCTGTACTTTTTTTGGGTTTTTTTGTTTTTTTTTTTTTGAGATGGAGTATTACTCTTGTTGCCAATACTGGAGTGCAATGGCATGATCTTGGCTCACCGCAACCTCTACCTCCCGGATTCAAGTGATTCTCCTGCCTCAGCCTCCTGAGTAGCTGGGATTACAGGCATGCGCCACTACGCCCGGTTAATTTTGTATTTTTTTTTTTTTTAAGATGGGGTTTCACCATATTGGTCAGGCTGGTCTTGAACTCCTGACCTCAGGTGATCCACCCACCTTAGCCTCCCAAAGTGCTGGGATTACAGGCGTGAGCCACTGCACCCAGCCTATATGTTTTTAAAAGCTATAAAAATAATATTCTAAGATCAGTAACTAGAACATCAGAACAATTCAGGTTTTAGTTCACAAAACTGATCTATAAGTAGAATATTTTTTAATTAATTTAAACTTACCCCTAGTGTGTTTTTATCCATGATTTTTATAGCTACCATTTCTCCAGTAAGGATATGGCAGGCAAGTTTGACCTTTGCAAAGCCACCTAAGTAGGAAAACGTATTATGAAAAGATAATCAAGGACTCAGGCACAAACACCTTGTTATATATAATAATTTTAAAAGACTCTATCAAGCCAAATTTTCCTGGAATTTTATGGCTTTTTTTTTTCCTGTTGCTTCCTCTTATCCAATATCTAGCTGAAGGTTTTTATTTTTTTACCATGATATTTTCTCTAACTTTGTAATCAAAAAGAAAACAGAATTCACTTTAGAAATTTGCTTTATGATTAACACTGCAATTAAATTTCCTTTATAATTAACACTGCTAGAATACAATATAAAGTTCCTGAGACCACTCAGTTTTAAAACTTTGAAGATAAGCAATTATGTTTCAAAACTGGATCAAAAGCTGGATAAACATCTCCACTCAGGGAGCTAAAAGAAATCTCCAATTAACATTTCCAAAAAGAACTTCCCAGTGGTTTCTCCCATGGTCGTCTTTATTTCAACAAAGGGCAACTCCATTTTCCTTGGTTCTCAGGCCTGGAACCATTCTTAGCCCTTCTCTCTCTCTCTAGCACCCCAATAAATCCCATTGGCTCTGTCTTCAAAATATATCAATGGTTACCTTGGGGAAACTAGGCAGGTACTCCCTGGAAATGGTTTATGTCTGTCTGGATCTGAGCAGGGAATATATGGGTATGTGTATACATATACATGTGTAAAACTCTACTGAGATTAATGTACTTTGCATATTTTACCATATGTTATACCTTAATTAAAAAAAACACACACATGGGGGTGTATATATCTATGTGTAAAGTGTATAAAATCCCCCCCCCTTCATTGTTTTTACTACCTCACCCTCATCCATGCCACCGTCATCTCTAGAATGAACACCTGAATTATTGCAATAGCCTCCTAACACATCTCTGCCTCTGCTCTTGCCCTCCCTCACCCAACCTTTTATCTACCAAGCAGCCAGAGCAACTCTGTGAAAACAAAGGTCGGATTACCCCTTAGCTCAAAACTCTCCAATAACTTTTATTTAGAATAAAAGTCAAGAAATAAAAGAAATATTTAGAATAAATTTTTTATTTAGAATAAAAGTCAAAGTCCTTGCAATAACCTACAGGGCTTCTCCTACTACTCTCCTCTCTGCTTGTGCCACTTTACCTTACTGTAGTAAGTAGAAGAATTTTAAAACTGTATGGGTTACACTAAAAAGCTCATGCCTACCCAATAATCTATACTCCCAAATAGTTGATTTATCCACTGCCTCAAAAAAAATAACAATTACCTGTACCAATAGTTTCATGTAATTCATAATATTTGAGAAGTTCATCATAATCTTTCATAGTCCTCTTGGAAGTTTAGTCAGAATTAGAAAAAGAACCTGAAAGACAGAGATAGTACATAATCAACAAATGAAATGACACCGGATCATCTCCACCATTCTTATAGCAGTATATTCTAGTGGAGAAGACAAAGGCAAATAAGTAGACAACAAAGTAATAATTATAATTTATAGGCCGGGCATGGTGGCTCATGCCTGTAATCCCAGCACCTTGGGAGGCCGAGATGGGCAGATCACAAGGTCAGGAGTTCGAGATCAGCCTGGTCAACAGGGTGAAACCCCCATCTCTACTAAAAACACAAAGATTAGCCAGGTGTGGTGGCGTACGCCTGCAATCCCAGCTACTCAGGAGGCTGAGGCAGGAGAATTGCTTGAACCCGGGAGGCGGAGGTTGTAGCAAGCTGAGATCACGCCACTGTACTCTAGCCTACGTGACAAAGCAAGACTGCATCTCAAAAAACATTATTATAATTTATAATAAATACTGAAATAAAAATAAGTAAAAGTGGTTTCTGAGAAGGTAACATTTAAGCCAAGCTCTAATTCAAAGGATGAGAATTGAGAAAATCAGCCCTGCAGGTAATCAGACTGTGATATTCCTATCAAAACTTGAACAATGGTTTCAATAGAACCTGAACATGACCATGTAAACAATGTTTCCATACAAGGCTGTTAAAATAAAGATCCGTTATTTGGCTGACTTCATTCTCTTCAGTGACATCCTTAGCCCCACCTCATTCTTCCCTCATCTGCCCCTTTCAACTCACTCTGAGACTAGCCAAAATTCTCAGGAGTATGGTTTCTCTTGCTGTAGCAAGCTAAATACATCTACTGTTTGTTTTTTTTTTTTTTTTTGAGACAGAGTTTCACTCATGTTACCCAGGCTGGAGCGCAATGGCGCGATCTCAGCTCACCGCAACCTCCGCCTCCTGGGTTCAGGCAATTCTCCTGCCTCAGCCTCCTGAGTAGCTGGGATTACAGGCACGCGCCACCTTGCCCAGCTAATTTTTTGTATTTTTAGTAGAGACGGGGTTTCACCATGTTGACCAGGATGGTCTCGATTTCTTGACCTCGTGATCCACCCGCCTCGGCCTCCCAAAGTGCTGGGATTACAGGCTTGAGCCACCGTGCCGGGCCTATCTATTGATTTTTACTACAGATGTGGTCTTTGGCCTATAGGCCTTAAGAGTCATAACTCACTGAGGCCGGGTGCGGTGGCTCACGCCTGTAATCCCAGCACTTTGGAAGGCCGAGGCGGGCGGATGGCCTGAGGTCAGGAGTTCGAGACCAGCTGGACCAACATGGAAAAACCCTGTCTCTAAAAAAAAAAAAAAGTCATTGCCCACAAAGAATTAAAGGCAGAATATTCCAGAAAGAGGGAATTTAGGTGCAAAGATCCCAGAGGAAGTCAAAGTTGACAGGTACTGAACTGAGACTGTTTTAGAGGTAACAGGTGATGGAAATGCAGATCTGTACCTAGGACAACTGGTTAGCCATGAGGCGAGGGGGGAAAAAAAAAACACATTGGATCTCTAGCTCACATCATACCAAATCAATAATAGTAAAGACTTAAAAGTAAAAAGCTGTGTGAGCGCGGTGGCTCACGCCTGTAATCCCAGCACTTTGGGAGGCCAAGGAGGGCGGATCACGAGGTCCGGAGTTAGAGAACAGCCTGGCCAACACGGTGAAACCCCGTCTCTACTAAATATACAAAAATTAGCTGGGCATGGTGGTGCACGCCTGTAGTCCCAGATACTCGGGAGGCTGAGGCAGGAGAATTGTTTGAACCTGGTAGGTAGAGGTTGCAGTGAGCTGAGATCAAGACACTGCACTCCAGCCTGGGTAACAGAACAAGACTCCGTCTCAAAAAATTAAAAAAACACGCCTGTAATCCCAGCACTTTGGGAGGCCGAGGCGGGTGGATCATGAGGTCAAGCGATCAAGACCATCCTGATCAACATGGTGAAATCCCGACTCTACTAAAAATACAAAAAAATTAGCCGGGCTTGGTGGTGCACACCTGTAATCCCAGCTACTTGGGAGGCTGAGGCAGAATTGCTTGAACCCAGGAGGCGGAGGTTGCGGTGAGCCAAGATTGCGCCATTGCACTCCAGCCTGGGTAACAAGAGCAAAACTCCATCTCAAAAAAAAAAAAAGTGAGGCCGGGCACGGTGGCTCAAGCCTGTAATCCCAGCACTTCGGGAGGCCAAGGCGGGTGGATCACGAGGTCAAGAGATCGAGACCATCCTGGTCAACATGTTGAAACCCCGTCTCTACTAAAACTACAAAAAATTAGCTGGGCATGGTGGCGCGTGCCTGTAGTCCCAGCTACTCAGGAGGCTGAGGCAGGAGAATTGCCTGAACCCAGGAGGTGGAGGGTGCCATGAGCCGAGATCACGCCATTGCACTCCAGCCTGGGTAACAAGAGTGAAACTGTCTCAAAAAAAAAAAAAAAAAAAAAAAAAGTAAAAGACAAATATTTGAAATGTTTAAAACATAGATAGCTAAGGTCTTACCCATACCAAACCTACAACTAGGAGTGGCAAAAGGAAGAAGCATTAATGATAGCTGGTCGTGGTGGCTCATATCTATAATCCCAGCAATTTGGGAAGCCAAGGCAGGAGGATTACTTGAGGCCTAGAGTTCAAGACCAGCCAGGGCAATATAGCAGGACCTTGTCTCTACTAAAAATAAAAAACTAGTCAGGGCCTGGTGCAGTGGCTCATACCTGTAATCCCAACACTTTGGGAGGCTGAGGCAGGTGGATCACTTGAGGTCAGGAGTCGCTGGCCGGGCACGGTGGCTCAAGCCTGTAATCCCAGCACTTTGGGAGGCCGAGGCGGGTGGATCACGAGGTCAAGAGATCGAGACCATCCTGGTCAACATGGTGAAACCCTGTCTCTACTAAAAATGCAAAAAATTAGCTGGGCATGGTGGCACGTGCCTGTAATCCCAGCTACTCAGGAGGCTGAGGCAGGAGAACTCCCTGAATCCAGGAGACGGAGGTTGCGGTGAGCCGAGATCGCGCCATTGCACTCCAACCTGGGTAACAAGAGCGAAACTCCGTCTCAAAAAAAAAAAGGAGTCGCATGCCACCACTTACAACTAGTTTGTTTGTTTGTTTGAAATGGAGTCTCGGCCTGGCAGTGGCTCATGCCTGTAATCCTAGCACTTTGGGAGGCCGAGGTGGGTGGATTACCTGAGGCCAGGAGTTTAAGACCAGCCTGGCCATCATGGTGAGACCCCATCTTAAAAAAAAAAAAAAAAAAAAAAAGAGATGGAGTCTCACTCTGTTGCCCAGGTTGGAGTGCAGTGGCGCAATCTCAGCTCACTGCAACCTCCACCTCCCAGGTTCAAGCAATTCTCTTGCCTCAACCTCCTGAGTAGCTGGGACTACAGGCACACACCACCACACCAGGCTAATTTTTGTATTTTTAGTAGAGACTGGGTTTTGCCATATTGGCCAGGCTGATCTCAAACTCCTGACCTCAGGTGATCCACCCTCCTTGGCCTCCCAAAGTGCTGGGATTATAGGCGTGAGCCACCGTACCAGCCAAACTAGCCTGTTTAAAGCTCAAATTGAGGAGTGGCAGGTACCACGTAAACTACCTTCAATTTCTGTGTTCTTCACCCTGTCCTTATCCAGAACTGAGTGACCAGCATGTTACTAAGTTCTGTTACTACGCCTTAATAATGGCCATGAATTTCAAAGACCTAGAGTGTGAGTTCGACCTCAGAAGTGTGGTGAGCTTATAAAAGACGGTGTAATAGAGTAAGAGAGTAGGTGCTTCATACAATGATAGGCAGTCTTCTTAAATTGAGGTGGAGAAAAATCTGAATGAAGTTATCAAAACCCCAAGAACCACAAAAGACATTTTAAAAATATCATTTTTCAATGCCTGAAACACTGATTCCATGAATTATTTTACTTGGAGAGAAAAGGTAAATTATTATCAGCAAGTAAAAGGCCAGCCAGGCACAGTGGCTTACGCCTGTAATCCCAGCACTTTGGGAGGAAGAGGTGGGTGGATCACCTGAGGTCAGGAGTTTGAGACCAGGAGAAACATGGAGAAACCTCGTCTCTATTAAAATACAAAAATTAGCCGGGCATGGTGGTAGTCACCTGTAATCCCAGCTACTTGGAAGGCTGAGGAAGGAGAACCGCTCACTCAGCCCGGGAGGTGGAGGTTGCAGTGAGCCGAGATCGCACCACTACACTCCAGCCTGCGCGATGATAACAAGATTCCATCTCGAAAAATAAAAAAATTAGGGCCGGGCGCGGTGGCTCAAGCCTGTAATCCCAGCACTTTGGGAGGCCGAGGCGGGTGGATCACGAGGTCAAGAGATCGAGACCATCCTGGTCAACATGGTGAAAACCCCGTCTCTACTAAAAATACAAAAAATCAGCTGGGCATGGTGGTGCGTGCCTGTAATCCCAGCTACTCAGGAGGCTGAGGCAGGAGAATTGCCTGAACCCAGGAGGCGGAGGTTGCGGTGAGCCGAGATCCCGCCATTGCACTCCAGCCTGGGTAACATGAGTGAAACTCCGTCTCAA